TCCTTCCTTCCTTCCTTCCTTCCTTCCTTCCTTCCTTCCTTCCTTCCCTTCACAAGCAATAGCACTTAGACTTTATATACCACTTCACAGTGGTTTACAACCCTCTCTGAGGTGTTTACAGAGTCATCATTTTGCCCCCAACTATCTGGGTTCTCATTTCACCAACCTTGAAAGGATGGAAGGCTGAGTTCACCTTGAGCCAGTCAGGGTCAAACTGCTGGCTGTGAACAGAGTTAACATGCCATACTGCCTTCTAACCACTGTGCCACCGTGGCTCTTTATTACACCCTTGCTTTGCCTTGTTGCGGAGTGATGGCTGGTCAGCATGTGTAATGGTATGAGGGAATGTCTTTATATGGTGGGGAAAAGAACAATCAGATAAGAGAGGGAAGAGCCCTCAGCAGCATAACAGAGGAAAGAGAAAGGAACTCAGAAAGGATCTTCACTGACTTTATGTTTCCTGGAAGGAAACCTCTGAAGATCTTGAACCCAAGTTGGTGGGTAATCTTTGCTGCTAAGCCCTGGGATGAAAGGTCTCACCTGGTGAGTTGGTGATAGAGGCATGGAAGCAGCTGAAATTGATGAGCGCGTAGGAGCAGAGGAAGAAGTTGGAGATGATGGGAGCGATGGCATTCAGTTCCGCTGCGGAGAAGGTGGAAAGAGAGAAGGTGAGTTTATTTCTGCACATTGTTCAAAACACAGAAATTTGGCAATAAAAAAACCGGAGGGATTTTAGTACAGAAGTCAAAACTCGGGGATAGAAGGTGGGCGCTGCTGCCTTTGTCTTGTGTTTGCTCTCTTGGAACCAGGTTGGGTCAGAACAGAAAGGTTGCAAAATGGGGCAAAACTCACTTAACAAAAGTCTCAACTTAACAACAGAAATGTGGGCTTCAATTGTGGTCATATGTCGAGGACCTCCTGTAGGCTGTTGGCATTATCCGGAAGTTATACCCTGTGAAAGTTTGTCTCTGGGCGTGGAGCCTTTGGATTACAGACATAGTGACTGCCTTCTTTAGTTTACTATTTTTTTCCCCCTCTCTCAATAAATCTTGCTAAAGAGTACTCTGAGAACTGTGCTTCAGAAGGAAACATTTTATTTCAGGAAACTGTCAAAGTAACGGATACCTCTTCTTTGGTTAGCAAAATCTCCTAAGAGCAAGACCAGATTCTTTGTGTTGAAGAACATCTTTGCCAGTGGTGGGATTCAAAAATTTTTACTACTGGTTCTTTTTTATTTTATTTTTTAATTTATTTATTTATTTTGCCAAAAAGCTTACAATACAATAGAAATAAGAATAAACATAAATTCAAATATAAGAAATAGGAACTAATAATTGGGGACAATAGGACAGGGACGGTAGGCACAATTGTGCGCTTATGCACGCCCCTTACAGACCTCTTAGGAATGGGGTGATGTTTCTGTGGTTCTGTGGGCATGACTTGGTGGGCGTGGCTTGATGGGCATGGCAGGGGAAGGGTACTGCAAAATCTCCATTCCCTCCCCACCCCACTAACCTGCTTTCCAGCTCTGTTCTCCTGTGCAGGGCAACCAAAGAAGACCCAGCCGATCAGCTGGGACTCCATGGGAGGCAGAGAAGAGATGGAGGCGGGGCAGGATTTGCTGGTTCTCTGAACTACTCAAAATTTCCACTATCGGTTCTCCAGAACCAGTCAGAACTGGCTGAATACCACCTCTGATCTTTGCCAGTCTTACCTATCAGGATGAAGCCAACCGCGATGAGGTATGTCAGCATGTAACCCCTGATTGGTTCATTATTTGTTCCATATCCCTTTCCAAAAAAGCCAATGGCCGGGTATAGTTCATCCTTACAAAGACACTGTTGGGAGAGCAGAGATATCATTCGTGCTGACTTCTCAAGTGCTCATGGATTCCCACAACAATTAGTTTAGCTTAGCTTAGTTTACTTTATTGTCCTTGCACCTCGTACAACGAAATCAAACACCATCTTCAGAGCACATCCATGACCACGAAAATAAACACAAACACACATCCTTCACACTCCACACATTGAACCGAAACCCCCAGCACCGCACCAACACTGCACTATACGGCAGAATTCAACAGAGCTCCTGCCCTGGGATAGAAGCTGTTTTCCAGCCTATTTGTGCTTGTTTTTATTATTATCCTGTACTGTCTGCCAGATGGTAATAGTTCAAGAAAAGGGTTCCCAGGATGAGATGGATCTTTGAGGATGTTTTGAACTTTCTTAAGGCAACGGGAGCTATAAAGCTCTTCCAAAGAGGGGAGAGGACAACCCATGATCCCTCGGGGCAATGATTTTCACCCTCTGAAGTGTTTTTTTTAATTAAGACTTCCTCGCACAAAAAGTCCATCATCTGAAGCTGAGGGAAGGAAAGGTTGGAGTTTTCTCAACAGCAACACCCACATTTGAGGCTGAGGGGTCCTTGGTGCTCTCTGTTTGTTTTCTTGCAGACGTTTCATGACATACATGAATGAATGAATGAATGAATGAATGAATGAGTGATTGATTGAATGAATGAATGATTGAATGAAACAAGCAAGCTCAGATAGCATCAAAGACCCCTCGTTTCACCGCTGACCTACAAAATTTCTCCTTTATTGGGTAGCACACTAAATATATGCCATGTGCATTCAACTGTATATCAGAATCTGGGCTACATGGTAAACTCATAGCTTATCTCTCTAGCTTTCGATCAAGGTTTTAGATTAAATATATGTCAATTGCATTGTCCTAACACCTATTGGCTGGTATCTATTTTTCTATATTGCTACATTGTATTAGCAAACAGGCTATAAATCTTCCGGTCAGTAAAGCAAGAAGCAAATCAACAACATCAGCAGAGGTGGGGCCCAAAAAGAAATGTTTTAACTGACTTTTTGGAGGGCCTCAATCTACCCTTTATTCCTGGCAGTCAACTAATGGCCTGGACTACAACATTAAGCTTCCTAAGAGAGACACACATTCCATAAATATTTATTTACAAAACCCCGAAGCAGAGCAATCTATTCCTAGAATAGCTGATATAATCTAATTTGGCTCTGCATGTTCATCTAATGGAGGTTATTGTTTCCCTGCTGTTTTTTCCTTGATGGGCCCATGCCAATTCTGTTGTATTCCTATGTCAAAATTCAGAGTGTAAATTTCCAGGCAGACGTTTGCTTGTCTATTTGTTGGTTTGTTGCTCAGGTTCTTCTGAGAAGCCACCTCAGAAAGCAACAGCCAGATGGCCGTGTCTGATCTCAGAAGCTAAGTAAGGTCTACTGGGGTTACTATTTGGATGGGTGAATCTCAGAAGTCTCATGCTGCTGGGGGAAAAATCCTGGCAAACCACTTATATACTGTTCCCAAGGTCCCTGCTTAGAGGTAGTCATCGTAGCAGTTCTTCTACATAAGAGGTGAGCCTGACTTGGAAGCATTTTCACCTTTACTCTGGGAAACTCTGACTGCAGTGACCAGAAAGTTGGGTCCATCTTCTTCAAGTTCATATCTGTCAAAAGGTGGGTCTACAGCTCCCATCATTATGATCACCCAAGACAAGAGCCGATCATTGAAGATGACAGGAACTTGGGGGGCCCCATTCGACTCTTCCAGCTTTAGGATTCTCCGGCCGGCAACCCAACACCAGACAAAGATGGGAGAGTTTTATTGACTTCTTTGATAGATTAATAATCGATCTCACCTGGAAAACTTTGGGGGCTGAGACGAGGCATGCCAAAGCCGAAGAGAGGGTGGCCCCAAAAATCCCAGCTGTGATGAGAGGGGCAAAGCCAGAAACCATGCTCATGGTCTGTAGGACAAGCAACAGGCAGACAATGTGATCTGAAATGTGGATTGGGCATGTAGATAAAGACGTAGGGTCAACCCTGAAGTGAACCTGGCTGAGGCCATCTTGGAGACTTCAAGGTTGCCACACAACACAAGGAAGGGAAAAAAATAGTTGGATGGGGTTTTGTAGCCCAAACGAGAAAGTTTTCCTGTGAGAACCAAGGACATTCTGGCCAGAGGAGGACTGAAGTAACCAAGCAACCGGCCAGCAACTTGATTGGACAGCCGGTGACTTGTGGAGAAAGGGGAAGAGGAAACATTTACTTTTAATTAGGTGAAAACAGTGGGAGATTCCAGACTCAACTTTCACCAGTTGTGCCAATATGATATAGCCAATAAATTCTTCTTTGAGCCAAAGAAGACCCAGCCAATTAGCTGGGACTCGATGGGAGGCAGAGAAGAGATGGAGTTGGTGGGGCCAGTCAGGGGTGGGATTTGCCGGTTCTCTGAATTACTCAAAATTTCTGCTCCAGAACTGGTCAGAACTGCTGAATACCACCTCTGCTTACATGTCCCTACTGAATAAGGTGGTTTATTTTGACTTACTTCCATCAGCAAGTACGGTACCCTTGTCTATAATTATACAGGTAGTCCTTGACTTGCAAGCATTTGTTTAATAACCATTCAAAGCTACGACGGCAATGAAAAAAGTGACTGATGACTGTTTTTCACAGTTATGACTGTTGCAGCATCTCCAGGGTCGCGTGATCAAAATTTGGATGCTGGTCAACTGACTCATATTTATGACTTGTTGCAATGTCATGGGAACACCTTTTGTGACTGTCTGACTAACAAAGTCAGTTGGGGAAGCCAGATTCACTTAACAACCATGGTAATAGCTGCAGTGGTTCGCTTAACAACTGTGATAAGGAAGGTCAACAAATGGGGCAAATCTCAGTTAACAACTGTCTTGCTTCGCAAAGTTGGACTCAATTATAGTCATAAGTGGAGGATAAAGTTTGGAAAAGTTACATGAGAAATGAGAGCTACATTTGACTCCCATCAGGGTTTAAATGCAACATATGCATTTAAATGCAACTTCTCTTCCTCCTGAACAGTGATTAGTGAACACCTCTAGTAGTGGGGAAACAGTAGAAATGTCAGGCGCAAAGGATCAGGACCATAAGTTAAGTTGCAGCGCAGATGTTTTATTCAAGCCTAAACACGAATCTACTCAGCTAAAGTTCAGTATTAAATTGGTGCCAGATAAGGGTCGATGGAATTCAGGAGAGGTTGGAGTTAGACTGTTTGTGGCAACGTAAGGATTCTAAGCTAATGACACATTTAATTCCTCCTTCCTCTGCCTGCTCTTCTCCTACAAGCAGAGGTGGTTTCCAACAGGTTCTGACCAGTTCTGGAGAACCAGTAGCGGAAATTTTGAGTAGTTCGGAGAACCGGCAAATCACACCTCAGACTGGAGATTTTACAATATCCTTCCCCTGCCATGCCCACAAAGCCATGTCGACAGAACTGATAGTAAAAAATTTTGAATCCCACTACTACCTACAAGTAGTAGATTCCAGCCCTCAGAATGGAGTTGAACTTGATGGTTTCCTTCCAACCACCACATTCTACAATTTTTTGTACCTGATAATAATTGATCAGCCCATATTGACAGCTATGTCTCTGAGCACACTCTGTGAAGTTCCAGCCATAACCACAAGCAATGCCTTCACAGCCCATGGAACCAGCGAGGACGGTATCATTAAGGCTTCCAGAGGCATCACGGACAACACAAGAACCTAGGAAGAACCATCAAGGTTAATTTCTTACTTCTTTTCCATCCCGTTTTTTTCCAATGAAGACCCGAACACCAACTCTTTTATGAAGATCTCTGCAGCTTTGTGTGTTGTGCTTTCACATCAGCTAGTCCCGAAAATCCAAAGAGGGAGAAGACAATGGGGAGAAAAATGTTTGTGGGATCCCATCATCTTCTCTGGTTGATCTCTGGGAAAACTACTGTGAAGCGTTTTTAGTTCTTTCAAAGACATTTAGAACCAGGTCCATGGGAGATCATGACCCACGGAAGGGGAAGGGATGGGAATTAGAATTTTTACATCACCCCAAAATCACACAATACCGTATGCAAGACGAGTTGTGCTTGGTGCAACAACTGGATTGAAATATAAAAAGTCCACACTTGTTTCATCATTTTGAGAGTCTAGAAACCTGAAAACAGAATTGAGTTGAAGTCCACAAGTCTTAAAGTTGCCAAGGTTGGACACCCCTGATCTAAATACTCCTAGATTCTGCTCATGTTTCCTCTTAGAAGTGTAACCAAAGGGAGATCTCTCATAGCCTTAGTCCCAGCCCTTGTCCCTGCTTGCTTGCTAGTGAGTTGGAAAAATTACAAAAACATTGTGTGCTAAGTCGTGATAAACTGAGTTCACCCCACACAATTTTTGTCCTAATATGCGTAGTTGTACCTATCCGTAAACGTACCAATTGTAGCTGACAGAACCAGGTATGATACGGTTGTCCAAAAAATAGCCATGAGGGTTCCTTTAGGAATTGCCACAGCAGGATCCTGGCCAAGAGAAACAAATGATAATGTGATGATCTGGGGCAAAGTCACAAAAGTAGAATAAATTCCCTTTAATGCCTCCAACTTGGCCCCCAATGTCCAGTTATCCTTGGCTGGAGATCAAACTCTTCAAAAAACAGTCTACGAAGGGATGAAATGCCCGAACCCAAAGTAAAAATAATTAGAAATTTTTTTTAAAAAACAACACAAACCACGCTGAAGTAATTAACACGGCAGGCCAGGATGATAAATTGCAGACTTAGAACAGATAACGCAGCACCCACAGTTGGGAGGATGCCAAAACCCAGATAAGCCTGACAAAAATAATGCACACTTTGCTTCCAGCAAGGAGCTGTTTGCAAATGCCCCTTTTATATCCTGTTCTCCCTGCTGCAACTAATGAAAGGGATCAGGGCCCTTTTCTCTCCCGTAAGCCACTTTGCTCCCTTCTCCGTTCCTCCCCGTGTGCCCTAGGATGAAGAGGATGTGGGCCTCGCTCTTCCTCTGAATGCCCAGCTGGACTATGCCCTTCTCCATTTCCTCCACAGCCACCGGAGCCACACTCCCACTCCCTGTCGGCTGCTTGACCTCCCCCTCAGAATCAGACTCCAGCAAAGGCTTGACAGATAATTTGACAGCTGGACAGGTACCCCTTCTCCTCCCTGTGGCTGCAGCCAACCAGGCCTACCTTCAAATCACCTGAAATGTTGGCTCCTGCCAAGATGCCAGTGGCTGATGGGAAGAAGATGGAAAACAAACCGAAGAAGCTGCCATCGGGGCCCCGCCAGCTGGGAACAAAGTTCTGAGCAAAAATGTTGGCTGAAGGGGAAAAAAAATGGATTGTTCAGTTTATAAAGTTATGCTTGGATTTAGGGAAGTGCATGGAGGGAGGTGGGACAACCGTATCCACGCAATCAAAGTCTTGTTTCTTGGACACATCAATTGAAGGGGTACAGCTTCCATCGTTTATTTGGGACTGTCCTCTTGATTGTTTTGAACCACCCTATGTTGTGCCTGCTTGCGCTCCTTTTAAAGTGGTATTTCTCAGCCCTGGAAATTTTAAGACATGTGGACTTCAATTCCCAGAGTTCCACTGCCGCCAGCTCCCAGAATCCCTCAGACAAAATGGCTGGCTATTGAATTCTGGGAGTTAAAGTCAACCTGACTTAAAAGTTGCTACAATTGAGAAGTATATATGGACTTCATCTCCCAGAATCCTTCAGATAACATGGCGGGCCATTGAACTCTGGGAGTTGAAGTCCACATGTCTTAAAGTTGCTATAGTTGAGAAGTAAATGTGGACTTCACCTCCCAGAATCCCTCAGGCAACATGGCTGGCTGTTGAATTATGGGTGTTGAAGTCCGTATGTCTCAAAAAAAAATTTTTTATTTATTTTTATTTTTTTTGTCAATTGCTTACAAGGTGACAGGTATAAGTAAAAACATAGTTATGAATACATGGATACATATAAGAAAAATAAAATAAACAATAGGACAGGGACGGCAGGCATGTTGGTGCACTTATGCACGCTCCCTACAGGCCTCTTAGGAAAGGGGTGAGGTCAATAGTAGACAGTCTAAGGTTAAAGTTTTGGGGGTTTGGGGAAGAAACCACAGAGTCAGGTAGAGTATTCCAGACATTGACCCCTCTGTTGCTGAAGTCGTATTTCCTACAATCAAGTTTGGTGTGATTAACTTTGAGTTTGTATCTATTGTTTGCTCTTGTGCTGTTATGGTTACAGCTGAAGTATTCATTGACAGGTAGGACATTGCAATGTATGATCTTATATACTATACTTAGATATATAAATATATATATATACACACACACACACACATCCATCCACTTCTTCCCATTCTATCCCTTGCCCCAAATCAAAGTGTCCTGGAACTTTTCAGTCGCAAACGGCCCCTTCGTCAGCCCACCTCTCTCCCACTTACCTCGGTAGCTGAAAAATCCTTTGGCCTGCTTCTCCTCAGTGGCTGGCATAACCGTCCCCACCACGTAGTTAATGAAGGAAATCATGATCACCACAAAAAACAGAACCTGCGCCTTGCAAAACCAAGCAAACAATACACGAAGGGCAGTTTGAAGAGTTTAGATCAATCTTCCCAGATTTGGTCTCCTTCATATAGCCATATCCATTATGACCAGTTTTGATCAGTGGTTGCCAACCAGTGGGGCAGGGACCACTGATGATCCGCGAGAAAGTTTTGGTGGTCCTCAGAGAAATGTCACCCCCAAGCAATTAATCCAGGTTGCGCAGGAAGACAAGGCTGTGCCACCCACATGGCCCGCGGGAACACAAGGTTTACGTAGCTTGCATTGAGAACAACATGAGGTAGTGAGAGGAGAGGGGAAAGGGCGGAGGGGGGAACTTGCCCCAATCGACCCACGTACCTGGCCTGGCCACTGAGCTGTTTCTTTCTTCTTCTGCTTTTGGCTGCACACAAGGAAAGCAGCAAAAGTCTTTCTTTCTCTCCTCCAAACTCTGCCAGAAATGAGTCTTTGGGACCCTGCAAGGCTTCCTGCTCCAAGAGGGTGCACCAGCGCAACAAGTCTCACAAAGACTCATTTAATGGCTGAGTTTGGGGGAGAGAAAGAAAGACTTCTGCTGCTTCTACTGCTTTCCTTGCATGAAGCCAAAAGTCTCTCTCTCTCTCTCTTCCCCTGAGAACAGAGCTGGAGACGGTATCCTGTGATCCCAAATAAAGAATGATTGATCGGTAGGAAAACGGGATGAGGAATTTTCCTGCAGACTTTTGGGGGATTTTCCCAGGGTCTCTGGTCCGCGGGATTTAAAATTATGACTTTGGTGGTCCCTGAGGTCCAAAAGTTTGGCGACCCTGGTTTACACGACAATTGCCCTCCCCAACACAATACTCTCTCTGGGTATTGGACTACAAACAGTGGTGGGATTCAAATAATTTAACAACCAGTTCTCTGCCCTAATGATTTCTTCCAACAACTAGTTCACCAAACTTCTCAGAAAGTTAACAACCGAAGTGGTGCGAACTGGCTGAATCCCACCACTGACTACAAACCCCATCATGCCTGACCTAGGTGACTATATAGATTTGCTTGATGAAAGCACTCATTCTCCCCATCCTCTTGGCGGTTCTTCAGAAATGTTGGCCATCCCCTTCCAACCTAATAGCTTATTTTTTTTCCACCTTGATTCATATCTAAACTTCCATCCTCCTGAGCCAGCATAACAAAAGGACTTTCTTACCTTGGGTTTACTTAACTCAGGATTCCCCAAAAGGGAAAGGAGTTGGTAGGGCGGAGAACAGTTGCTCCAGTTTGGGGTGTGGTAATTTTGTTCTAATGGGTAACAGGTCAAAGTCTCCAGGAACTGTTCTTCAGTTACCAACCTTCTCCAATGTAGACATGGTTGGGACGTCATTCCCCAGATCCTTTGCCAGTTTTGGCCAACACAACTGAAGAATATCTAGCTAGGAAAACTGAATCTATAAAGTATTGCCCTCCACTGATTTTTGAAAAGCTATCTGCAATATAGTTCAGTTTTCTACTCAGAGTAAGTACTACCCAGTTTGTAGCATCAGTGGGAGAGAGAGAAGGTAGGGGATTCTAAAAGGGGTTGAACATTCGTAGGTCCACTCCCCCTTTTTGGGGAGTTGGCTTTGCTCATTCCTGACCTACAACTCAATCATGATGGCCAAGATGACCCAGCATCTAAGGACTGTGAGATATGTAGACCATGGAAAGCTATAGTGATTCCCACAATGGAAGATGCTTCCTCCCAAATGAGCCCAATCTTCCCCATTTCCCACAATAATGCACTTACCTTCGCTTCCCACTCCATCCCAGCCAAGGATACTCCAAGCAGCACCGTCACCGTGACAACTCCGATGATGCGGATGTCATTGGTTGGATCCACCATGCTTGAGTTATATTCCTTTGGAGAGAAAAATCCATCCATCAGACAACTGCAAATTTCCTGGATTGGGCCAAGGGAATGTCCACCACCCTACAGATTGAACTCAACATTTTTTTTTAAAAAAAAGGAAAAGGGCCTGATAGATTCCTAGCAAGTCCAGGTGAGCAGAGTTGAAAAGCTCTGAAGTGTTCACTAGACTAGAGGTACAGATGTTTCAGCTTCCATAAATCTAAGAAGGCAGAAGCTTTCTTTGAACCCTGAGAAAGAAGATAGTACAGGAGGAAGCTCAGCTTGCCCCTTTCTGACTTCGTGGGGTACAAGAGGGAGGGAAGGGAAACACAATCAAGATTTTGTTACAGTAGCCTATCTCAATATTTCTCCACCTTGGCTACTTGAAGACTTTAATGCTCAGAATTCCTCAGCCAGCCATGGGGAATTCTGGGAGTTTGAAGTCCAGATGTCTTCAAGTGGCCAAGGTGGAGAAACACTTGACCTAACTTAATCAAGTATCATTCTAGTCTTCTGTTGGTTTCTTAACTTGGGCATCCTTGAAGGGCTGACACTGTTTTCTTCTGAAACATCTCCTGGGCTCCCCAACCTTGTATAATCCATAGCTTTGAGAGATCTGGTGACCTCCATTCAAGTACTATCTTTTTTTTTAGTATTTATTTGATTTGTCAATCGCTTACAAGATACAGGTATAAGAATAAACATAGCTTTGAATACATGAGATAGATACTTAAAAGAAAAATATAAAGAAACAATAGGACAGGGATGGTAGGCACGATTGGTGCACTTATGCAGGCCTCTTAGGAAGGGGGTGAGGTCAACAGTAGAAAGTCTAAGGTTAAAGTTTTTGGGGTTTGGGGAAGAAACCACAGAGTCAGGTAGAGTATTCCAAACATTGACCATTCAGTTGCTGAGGTCGTATTTCCTGCAGTCAAGTTTGGTGCGGTTAACCTTGAGTTTGTATCTATTGTTTGCTCTTGTATTGTTATGATTGAAGCTGAAGTATTCATTGGCAGGTACGACATTTCAATGTATGATTTTATATGCAATATTTAGATCGGACAGAGCATTTATTTGTTGAGATTTGAAGTTGCTTTTTCAAGATCAGCCTTGGCTAGGTCTCAGTGCAAAACCAGCATTTCCCATGCTTCCTTTCCCACCAATTGCTCCCACTCTGCTCACGCCATACCTGCAAGAGGTCTCGCACCGTTTCTGCAAAGCCCACCGTATGCATGGCCACAGCCACGGCGTTGGCAAAAGCGAAGATGAGGCCGATGGAGCCTCCCAACTCTGGCCCAAGGCTTCTTGAAATGAGGAAATACGTCCCACCTAAGAGATGGGAGCAGCGCAGTCAGCACGGTCGCTTTTCAATTTTATTCATTTCGTGTATGGCACTCACCGTTATGCAACACTAAATTAATTAATTAATGATTATAACTATGATTTATGATGGGGTTAGTAGAGATGGCAAAAGTGGCTGTTTTAAATAATCGGAGAGTTGGAAGGAACCTTGGAGGGCTTCTAGTCTATCCTGCTGCTCAAGCAGAAGACCCTATACGAGAGGTCAGCAGGTTCTGACCAGTTCTGCAGAACTGGTAGTGGAAACTTTGAGCAGTTTGGAGAACCGGCAAATCCCACCTCTGACTCGCTCTGCCAACGCCATCTCTTCTCTGCCTCCCATTGACCCCCAGCTGATCAGCTGGGTCTCCTTTGGTTGCCCTGCACAGGAGAACGGAGCTGGAAAGCAGGTTAGTGGGGTGGGGAGGGAAGGGGGATTTTGCAGTATCCTTTCCCTGCCACGCCCACCAAGCCACGCCCACTGAACTGGTAGTAAAAAAAATGTGAATCCCACCATTGTTCTAGATGCTCTATCACTGGATGTTTTTAAGAAGAGCCTATCTAATTTTGGTTCTACTTGGAAACCACTACTGGATTTTTATTTTATTTTTATTTTGCTCCAACCTGAACAAATGAAACAGTAGGTTTAGTTTAATAATTAGAATGATTTTCATTATTATTATAGAAATGGCTTGAAATTCGTGAAACGTAAGCCAAAAGCTTGAGATTGAAATTGTTTTATTTTGTATTTTACTGCCCTAAAGGCAGCAGTTAATACTTTTTCCCCTTTCTCAGCCCTTCTCACTTTCTCTTAGTTCTATAACTTTTGTTTCTTTTTATCTTATAATGAAACTTAATAAAAAAATCTACATTCAAAAAGAGAGAGAGAGAGGCAGTCCAAATATCTGGGAGTATGCTTTAGTCTACGCGCACCCCGATGGTTTCGCTTGTTCTTTGGCTACTGAATAAATTGCTACCTGATTTGACTTTGCCGTTGGTGGAGATGGCAGAAATGGATAATCCGGTGATGGTGGTCACGGTGACAGACATTAGAATGATCACCCAAGTCAGCGCTGCAAAATGAAAGAAGTCATTTCAATTCTCTTGGGCTAGAAGGCCTTCGTTCAACTGTGTTGTGACTGATGGAGCTGACAGCAGAGTCAGACAGTAGTGAGGAGGCTGGGAGAGAACCTGGGCCAGTCTTGGAGGCTGAGGAGGGCTCGGACAAGGGCTCAGCATTAGAGGCAGGGATGGGGCCAGGGCAGGCTGATGGTCATCAGCTCTCTTCAGACTCAGACAGAAGTGAGGCAGGGGAGGTTCTGGAACCGGTTCCCAGCCTGTGCATACACAGGGCTACCAGAAGACAAGAACAGTTGAGAAAACAGGGTCAACTGAGAAGTAAGGCCACACCTTGGAGATGATTGGCCCCTCCCATGAGACATAGAAGAGGAGGGAACGGGACGTGAGCTTTTGCAGGAAGCAATGAGTTTGTCTGGTCGGTTCAAGCTTTGAAAAGTGCTGTTTGACTCTGTGTCGAGTTTGGCCTCGCCCTGCATCCTCCAATTAGCTCTCTGGCAGCATTCCAAGTGCAATAAGGTGGGTGTTTATAAACATACCTCTGAAAGACTGTTTGGGAAGCCTGGCCAGCTGTGAATGAATATAATTCACAGCCATGGAAATAAAAGAGATTTTGCCAGGACTAAGATTGTGCTTTATGCTTTCTCGGGAAGCCTAGATCAGAACAAACTGAGGTTCTCCAACTTCTGTTTCTCCTAGGCAGGACTCTCCTAACTTGGCGACTTTAAGACTTGTGGACTTCATCTCCCAAAATTCCCCAGCCAGCTATGCCCAGCAGCAAATGAATTTGACAGGACTTACCTATGCCTGCTTGTGCAGTGATCCAAGGTAGCCGGAGATACAGGATCACACCCCAGATGTTAAGCATGCAACGAATCTAGGAGGCAGAAGCAGCAACCAGTAAGTGGGAAGAACCAAAGAAGGATGACCCCTTAAGGAAGGTCAGATGTAGGAAATGCAATCAGATACAGGGTTCTTACTGTCACATGTGGTGGACATGCACAAAGGCAAAAAAAAATTGGAGAAAAATACATACATGGTTAGAGAAAATGATAAAACAACACACAGGTTTAAAACCAGGAATATTTTTGTTAGGTATATTACCAGAAAGCTATAATAAAGCTCTAATACATGTGCTGAGAGCAGCGAGAATTGAATTCGCACCATGTTGGAAAAATAAAGACACACCTACAGATGAAAGTATAATTAGAAAAATATTAGATTGTACCAGTGGTGGGATTCAAAATTTTTTACTACCTGTTGTGTGGGCGTGGCTTGGTGGAAATGGTGTGGCTTGGTGGGCATGGCTTGGTGGGCATGGCAGGGGAAGGATACTGCAAAATCCCCCTTCCCTACCCACCCCACTAACCTGCTTTCCAGTTCTGTTCTCCTGTGCAGGGCAACCAAAGAAGACCCAGCCAATCAGCTGGGACTCAGGAAGCTGAAGTCATACTTTCTGCGATCAAGTTTGGGGATGAGAGAGACAGACAAACAGTGTTATGGTTCGCCGGCAGCCTGTGCAGACGGCAGTGGAATTGGACAGTGGGGAAGAAAGGGGAGTCTGGAGAGGACTCGGACAAGGGTCCTGCATCCGATGCAGAAGTGGGGCCAGGACCATCTGGGAGTGGGGTGCTGCCTCTGGAGCCGGCGGAGTCTGGCAGCAGCGAGGCAGAGGATCCAGGGGAGCCTGTTCCCAGTGCCCATGTGCACAGAGCTGCTAGAAGGCAAGAGCAGCTGAGACAAAAGGGGCAAATTGGGAGTAAAGCTGGGAGGTGATTGCCCCTCCCATAAGGGATAAAGGGCAGGCCAAGATGATGAAACCTTTGCAGGAAGCAAAGTCATTCGTTCGGTTCAGATTCATTCTTTAAGCTCTTTGTACCTTGGTTGGTTTTTGTTCTAGTTCATTTGATACTTCTGTTATTGGCAGCACTTCACAGGACAGAAAGGTGGGTGCTTATTTCGAGGAACTGTTTGACATTAATTTTGGCTGGAAATGAAAACAATTTCTAGTGTTGCAATAAAATAAGACTTGTTTTTAAAGTAAGCATGTGTGTAATTACGGTCTAGGAAGCCGTGGTCAGAACACAGAGAGGGAGAAGGAAAGAAGTCAAGGTAGACTTTGACTTAGCAAGAGGTCACTTAGCAATCATTGGAAGTTCTGAGGGATCTGCATGGGGGTTCTTATAACCTGGATTTGAAGTTCTGATGGCTTCCCCCATGGTCATATGACCACACTTCAAGTGCTTGGCAAACCAGGCTGCATTTACAGGTATTTGCAGCATTCTGCGGTCATGTTACCACAATTTGCTTCCAGTTTTTAGCCTATAGCGAACCATGGGTTCATTTAACAACCGCTGTAAAAAAAGGCCATAAAATCAGATCAGTTGATCTGCTTTATGACCATGAGGAGTCACAATTGTGATGGACAGGCAGAAGCTGGGAGGAGGAACGGGAGCTCCCTCCATTACGCGGCACTAGGGATTCGAACTGCCGAACTGCCCACCTCTCTGATGGACAAGTTCAGCATCCTTAGCCAACGAGCCACCGCATCTTTAGGACTGTTAAAATTATATCATGAAAATGAGGCAAGATCAGAGTAGTAAATGAACGTGTTGCCCTTTTAGATGAGACCAAACTGCGGCAGGATGGTGGAAATAGTAGCCCAGCGCATTGAGCTGGTTGGAAAGGATCCTGTGAGCTTGAGAAGATGGTCTGTAAACCAAAGATAGATCACCTCTAGGAAAATTAAGGCCGAGGGTCTCCGAAGCAGAGATAAAGAAAAGCACCGCCGACGATTGTTTTGAAGAAGAAAGGACCTTACAGACAGTCACAAAAAATATGGTTTTATTATAATTGTTTTCCCTACTCTTTCCTCCCCTTCCCTTCCCTTTCCCTCTTTCCTCTCTCAAGCCTTCCTCTCTTTCCCTCTTGGCCTATGCTAAGACCTTTTTGTCGTGCATAATTTGTAGTTGTGTTGTTTTTTTAAAAAGTAAAATTAATAAAGTTTTTTCGAGAAGATGGTCTGTGAAAGCTACTCACCATCACCCCCTTGACCCATCCAAATCGGACAGGCTCTCCTGGATCCTTCTCTTTCTCCTTAGTATCCTCCTCTTCTGCCGCTTCTTCTGAGCAGCTGTTTCTTCGGTGGGCTTCGTATCTCGGGGGATGCCGTTGGCTATTTTCTGGCTGGAAAAACAGAGGGACAGATGAAATCAGAGAACAAGAAGATAAACAATTTTATGAAGTTTGGGATCTTTTTTATCAATGGTTAGATAATAAAATATAATGATAGAATATTCAGATTTAGCATAAATTTTTTTTTTCTTAATATTATCTTTATAAAACATTATCAAGGTAGATTTGGTATGATCTTATGATTTATTGCAAAATAAATTAAGTAAACTATAGTTATCTCGTTAAAATATGAATTAACAAACTTATAAGTGATTTTTTTTAGTGATGATATTAGGTTATACAATTATTGATTGATAATATGAGCTATTATGTAATACAATTATACTAGTGACTAGGAAATGGATGCACAAAAAAAAGTGATAAACCAATCGATGCACCGTTTGTAAATTTATGAAGAAGGATATTTTTATGTTTTTTGTGGTATGTTTATGTTTATCTTGTTATTAAAAAATAAAAAAAAATTATAAAAAAGAAACAAAAACAGAGGGACAGAGAGAACAGTTTCTAAGGGGGAAGGAAATGGGGTTGATAAAAGCGTGGAGAATGTGGGGGTGCCCGTGTAGTTGAGAAGCATCCGGAACAATAGGAGGGTTATCGCCACGTGTTTCCCTTGGAGGACTTCACTCTTGAGACAGAAAGAGCACAACAGCGGCCTCAGCAGAAGATTACAGATTCGTAGTTTTTTTTCATTTTAGGAAGGAAAATAGCCAAGCAGAACTTCTCAGCAGTAGCTGAGGTATCAGGGAAGGGAAGGAAAAGGAAAGGAGAAGATGGGGAGGGAAGAATGAAGACTGGGAAGGAGAGAAGAAGGGGAGGAAAAGGAAGAGTGAAAAGGGGGAAGGAAGGATGAAGGGGGAGTGGGAGGGGAAGATGAAAAAGGAGGGGAAGATGAAGAAAGAAAAGGATGAAGGGAAGTGAAATGAAGGGGAAGGGAGGATGAAGGGGAAGGAACGGGAGGATGAAGAGAGAGGAGGATGGAAGAAGGGAAGGGAAGGGAAAAGAAAGGAAAGAAAAGGAAAGGAAAGGAAAGGAAAGGAAAGGAAAGGAAAGGAAAGGAAAGGAAAGGAAAGGAAAGGAAAGGAAAGGAAAGGAAAGGAAAAAGAAAGGAAAGGTAAAGGAAAAATGAAGAAGGGAAGGAGAAGATGGGGAGGGAAGAATGAAGA